CCCACTCGTACTCGTACTTATCGTGCACATAAAAGTCAAAAGAAATCGCCAGCGTTTTCCGTTTGATTGCAGCTAGTGATGGTGTGTTGCTGTGTGTGTGCTTTCCACTGCTTTTTCCCGCATTTTCCAACCATGCCGGCCATGCCCACATCATGGGATGAGTTTGTATTGCAGGTGGCAAAGCATAAAACTTCATTATTGTGTCGTGTCGCTTACGTGCGATGATGGCAATAGAATGCCGTTAACATCTGGCAGTCGCATCAGCGGCAATGATACCGCAAAACAGCAGCAACACCAGCAACAACACTAGCAACACCAGCAACATGCAACGCTGCGAGGGGCAACAACAAAGGCAATATATCATGGGTCCAGCTTTTAGCGAGCTTTTCATAATCAGTGATGCATTGCCAACAGCTAGCAGCTGACAACCATGAAGAGGAGCTACACTTGGCGAAAATATGATAGTCTCAAGAAATTAGATAATGAACTAGATAGAAGAAACCCACAAATTATCTTGGCAAAAGGTACGAAACGCATTTACAACTATTTCTCCTATGGCATTCGATTATCTATTACATTTCTCTTAGTGTAAAAAAGGGCGCTAAAAATAGCTGCAATGTTGGCTGGGCGATGACAATGTTGTTGTACCACCGCCCAGCTATTGTTGCTGACATAAATCCATATTTTGTACGGCAAATTTCACGATTGGTCGGCGGCCCCAACACCAAACACAAGCAAATCATATGTGGGAAAGCCCGGGAAATTGGTAAAAAAAAGAGGGAAAAAACTATTTCCAATTAACTTTAAAGTTTGAAGAAGGTGAACTGGGGGCAGGGTGCACGACTGCACTGCACCAGCTCTGAATGACAATGACAATGACACTCGGGACACCCGAGACCCAAGCCAAGCAGCATAAATCCCATTTGAAGATGACAAAATATTCCAAGAATGCAGCAGGAGACGGGGGGATCTCCTACGGTCCTCCAGTGTCCCGCCTTGTGTCCATCATTCTTCATTTAGTGACCCGACACGAGCATAGGATGTCAGCAGCTGTTGGCTTCGGCTCTGCCTCTAGCTTTGGCGTCATCATCATCGTCATCGATGTGGCTCCATTTGGCGCCACCTTTAAGAGGCGGTTGGGGTTGGCGAGTTGGGGACGCGGGAGAGCTGATGCCATTGGGGTAACGGATGAGGACGAGTGCGAGGACGAGGACGAGGATGAGGACGAGGATGAGGAGACAGTTGAATGTGCAACGCATGCGGAAAGCAAACAAAGCGCGACAGGCGGGCAAACAAACATCCAACTGACAGCAGAAATGCGCCACTGAGACAGATGAATGGTGACGAAGCGGGGGGAGGAGGTCCTGCAGGAGGTTCGGAGGACTTCATGCACACGAAGTCAACAGTCAATCGGGTAGCTCGCGCTTCCAGGACATTGCACCCTGCGGTATTTGCTTTCCATTTTCGCCTTTAAAGTGTTGCCTACATTACAGCTACAAAGAAGGGAGGTTGAGGAAGTATTGACGAACTTTGAGAACTTTACAAAGTTCCCAATAATAAAATATAAAAGATAAAATCTATGTAGCAACAATAAAATAGCATTCTTATTCAATTTAGGTGATTAATAATTTCGTATTAAATTTAATTTAAATTTCAACTCATTTCCCTAGAACCCATAAATACCTCTCTCTCTATAAATCGCATCCTCCTACCTAAAAATACCCCCAAACCGAAACGATTCCCTTGGAGCTGACTGCAAAAATGTTTTATTAAATACAACGGCTATGCCAGCACACAGACACACAGCACACACTTCGCGCACACACACAGCAGTACTGCTCACACACCCATCATCCCGGGCAGCTTAAAGTGCTGCCTCCTCTAATTACTTAATTACGTGCTCCGCTATCGCGGAAAACCCGATGGTGCTGGACACGCGGAATGGGGAATAGGCAGTGGGTCGAGTGGGTGGAGTGGGTTTTCCGGAGCTGGACAAAGAGAAGCCAAACAGGAGCCAACAGGAGAGCCACCGAAAAAGCCGCAACTGGTTACACCTGCGGCCAGACTAATCTATCATGTGCCATAAAGCGCTAAACGGGATGCGATGCGAGGGGCAATACGAGAGCTGTCTCTTTAGTTTTCCCCTCTCACTATCCTCCACGATCCGCCACTACCATCACTACCACCTCCTACACGATTTTCCCAACCGCTTTTCCTCCGTTTTTGCCGTGTTGATAAGCCGCATTGTGTCCGGTGAGTTGCGCACGCGGCTTTTGTGGCCGAGCGGACAGGCGAGCGCTAGAAATGTTTATGGCTCCGCGGGGAGCTGGAGCCTGGTATGCTTGTGTGCAGCCAGAGCGAGTGTATCTTGGAGTGAAGTACCACACAGTAAAAAATTAAATACTTTTTTTCCTATTATTTATTAAGGCATACGGGGAGTACTGTTTACCCCTTTGTGTCCTTAGTGTCTGTTAATTCAGCCCTAAAGCGGGCGCGCCGGCAACCTTATTGGTTAGCATTTTCATAATTACAAAATAGCATAAAATTAAATACTGCTTTAAAGTAAGAATTTTGGCCAAAACTATTCACAAGCAAGTATAAGTAAAAGAATTATTGCATTTAATAAATTGTATAGGAAATATTTGAACTTTTGATTTATGATCAATGGAAAATCATTGAAAATTAACTTTTAAATATTAAGTTTTCCCTAAATACCGAGGTTCATTAAAAACTTTCTTCTCCAACTTTTCTATCTGTACGTGAGCTTTTCTATGTGAGAATATGTGCTGCGGCGCGTGTGGCAGCATGAAGGTGCAAGTGTTAGTGTGAGTGTCAGTGTGAGTGCCGTGGCACAGTTGTTGCGGCCATTCTGATCCCCAACGAAGCGCCTAAAAGCCCTTTGTGCCTCCTGTCCTTCCTGTCGAATGGCGGACAGTGGAGGTTAAAGGGCGGAAGATGTTAACAAACGTAGCTCGACCGTCTTTTTGTGATTATTCCTTTTAAACAAGTATTTAAATAAGAAAATAAACTAGAGCTAAGTAGAAACCAAGTAGAAAATTAATTTATTAATATAAAAAAATGTTATTCTTGAAAAATTAAAGGAGCATCTCTTTGTACAATATATTTCAATTTAAAACTTAATTTTTGTAGCCAACAAAGCTCGGTTCATACCAAATAATAGCTTTCAATTAAACAAAAACCATAAATTGTATTTAACAAGAAAGGAAGCTAACTTCGGCACGCCGAAGTTTGTATACCCTTGCAGATATTATTTCATTGCATTTTACCTATACTTATTATGTTGAGAGTTTGACAGTTACAGTTTTACATTCCCAGTTTTACATTTTCCCTACACCTACCGATCGGTTTATATGGCAGCTATATGATATAGTTGTCCGATTTTCATAAAATTTATACCACAATTCTGAACTAATAAAATAAGCTTATATCTCAGAGTAGATAAAAATAGTTTGAAAAACAACGAAGTTATAATTTTTTTTCTATTAATTTCCTGATCGTTTCTATGGCAGCTATATGATATAGTCGTCCGATTTTCATAAAATTTTTAGCAAAATTCAGAAATAATATAAAATGGTCATATGTAAAAAATAGTGCACATATGTTGAAAAACAGCTAAGTTATAATTTTTTTCTAAAAATTTATCGAACATTTGTATGGCAGCTATATGATATAGTCGTCCGATCCGGCCCGTTCCGACATATATAGCAGTGAGAGCATATAGAAGACTATATGCAAAGTTTCATTCAGATAGCTTTAAAACTGAGGGACTAGTTTGCGTAGAAACAGACAGACGGACAGACAGACAGACAGACAGACGGACAGACGGACAGACGGACAGACGGACATGGCTAGATCGACTCGGCTGTTGATGCTGATCAAGAATATATATACTTTATAGGGTCGGAAACGTCTCCTTCACTGCGTTGCAAACTTCTGACTGAATTTATAATACCCTGCAAGGGTATAAAAATAAAATTTAGTCAATCCCATACATGTAAATCCCTGCATTTCAAACGAAATTTCACCCGCGGCCTAAAAGCTAGCAATGAAATCTGTTGGATTTATCATTGGCAGAAAAAACTACTGCATACTTTTGATTGCAAAGAAAAGAGTAGAAAAAATAGTTCTGGGAAACTTTTTAATAAACTATTTTGCCGCGTCGACAACTGGAACTTTCTTTCTTGGCGACTTTCCAGCAGCTCACACACACACACACATATATATTCACAGATAAATATCAGATTTCTTTTCTTGGTCACAGAATGAAATTGTCAACATAATTCGCAGCGAACCATGAATTTTTTGTGGCAAAAACAAATGCCAAAAGGGCAAAAACCAAGAGAAAAATAAAAGAGTATTCTATATAACCTTTGGCTCTGTGTGCGAGACAACAAAATAATATTTTTTTGTAAGCGTCAATAATGCAAATTGATAAGGCAGAGGGGAAATGTATTCCTCTGGGCGAAAGTCCCGCACAAAAACCAATTCGCAAAATGGCTGTCGGGGAAATATAAAAAAGAGGAAATAAATGAAAACATGATTGTCACAAGATAATTTCAAAAGTGAAAATTAAAGGTGGAGAAGGGTTTCCAAAGAGGGTAAGAAAACAATGAAATTATTGGGAATAATTCAAATGAAAAACAGGTAAGACTTGATTATGTGGAAATGCTCTTATATCCCAGCCTAAACTTAGTTTAAACTATTATTAATGGAAATAAATATCAATAAGAAATCAACATCTTAGTTTTAAAAATTAATTCAGAATAACAGCGTGAAAAATATAATATAAATATATTGACAAAATTAAAATGCCTTTCGTTAGAGTATAGCCATTTTGATAAATAAATAAAAGACAAAAAAGGTAACAATCAAAACAATTCAAACCAAACAAAAATAATTGAAAAAGAAAGATACGAAATGAACTTTTGTTTTTTGGTTCGGGAAAAGATGCCTTGATTAATTTAAACATCAACAAAACATAACGTAAATTGGCATTATATTTTCGATGCAAATTTGTTGTGAATATTTTCACCTTTTGTTATAGGAATTATCTGGTCCTTGTTCTTGTCTGCACAATTCAATTAGAGGCCAAGGCGTTGCTCTCCCTGTTTTTGGTTTTTTACTTAAATGAAATATAAATGAAAGGAAGCCAAGGGAATGCGTATAATAAATACAAACGAATCAGATATTGGTTGCGGAGGCCAGCTCCACGGGATACGATACGAAGGGCTTGAGGGTCCTGGCTGCCGTCGCAGGCATCGAGTCCCTGGCCACCAACTGGTGCTGCTGATGCAGCGGGACGCCCGAGGCGATTCTCTGCTGGTCGCTGAAGAACGGATGCTTCAGCGCCTCCTCGGCTGTGATCCGCTTCTCGGGATTGACCTCCAGCAGGCGGGAGAGCAGGTCATAGGCATTCGAGGGAAACATGTCCAGTCCATCGTACGACTCCAGCTTGTGAGCGCTGTTCCGGCAGAGACAGTTGAAGGTCGGCTGATCGCAGCCCCGGCACATCTCGGTGCTGCCATCGGCCCTTCGATGCCGCCGCTGCATCTCTGGCGCCAGGAAGTGCTCAGCGTAGCGGAGTCGCATGCAGACACGCCTCAAGTCCAGAGGATTCCGCTTCTGCGTAAGCAAAACCAAGCGATCCATCATGAAGGCCACCTTTCGCACCGAAATATCGCCGACAAGGTTCATAATTTCCGCCAGGGCGCTGCAGTCGTTGGGAGCCTTAAAAAACGGATGCATAGCCGAGAGCATCGATATCATTATAACCCCCGAGGCCCACACATCCACGGCGGTGGTCTGATGTGGATGTCTCAGCAGGACCTCGGGTGGCCTGTACCCTGGTGTGCCTGCCCGCGAGGCGTGCATCTCCTTCTTCACCGACACTGAGGGCACCACATAGTTGTCGGGATTGGTCTGGGGGCTCATGAATCGTAAGCGATTGAGTAACTTGAGCGTATCCGCCTTCTGGTTGGCCATGTCCTTCTTGGTCAGCGGCTCCCGGAATTTCAGGAAACTAGGTGGCCCCTTCAGCGGATGATCCACGCCGCCGCCGCCGCCCAGAGCCCTCATCTTACGATTCGCCATGTAATCCTCCGCCTCAGCCTGAGCCGAATTGCCGTCCTGCAACATTACGTTCTTCACCGCATCCTTGTCTCGAAGGAAGGAAAAGGCCCCAAAGTCACTCGCCTGGATTACCGAGCCGTCTTCGGCGATCCTCTGGGCCAAGCCAAAATCGCATAGCAGAAACTTGCCGGTGCGGCGATTAAACAGAATATTGCTCGGCTTCACGTCCCGATGGATGACGTTGAACCTGTGGACGTGTCGCAGGGCGATCAGCAAGTTCCTCATGTACTCGCGGACCTCCTGGACGCTCAACAGCTTGTAGATGTCGTGGAACCGATCGTGGGTCATGTAGGGCATGACAAAGGCCACATTGTCATTGCACCGAATGCAGCAGTTAATGCCAATAACATTGTCCACGCCCCCGATGCGCACCATGCACTCCAACTCCCGCAGTATTCGCTCCGGGTGGCTGGTGGGATTGTGGTGCTTGATGGCAAACCTCCGGCGCTGCGTCTCCAGCAGACACCGTTCGCCCTGGAGGGTTCCCAGCAACACGGTGCTGAACGTGCCGCTTCCGATGCGGCACTGGACATCGAAGATCTTGTTGATTGCCGGTATGCTGGCGTGCAGCTCCTTCAGCGCCTCCATGTTCTTGTCAACGGTTTGCATGTTCTTCTGCATGCGCATCTCCGAGAGCTTCTTGATGGCGTTCCGGCGATCGATTTCGGCCAGTCTCTCGTTGATTTGCATGGCCTGCTGTTGCTGTTGATATTGTCGCCTTTGAGGGACCGATGCAGTGGTTATCATGGCTTGCCGGCTCTGGAAGTACTGCTGAACATAGGCCTGACCGGGGTCCTGGGGATTATGGGGCAGGCGAGAGGATTGGACCGATTCCGGAGAGACACAACCGCTCCCCTTATTCGCCGGCTGGGTATCCGTTTTCAAAGGATAGTAATGCGGTTGCTCCGGCGTCTTATGTTCAATATTGCTACTGTAATGCTGGTGCTGATAATGGGGGCGGTGACTTGAGGGCTTTCTGTCCATTTTACATATGCGATCTATGGGGTCTATGTTAAAAGCATTTATTGGGACACAAATTTGGCGGCTGCTTCTTGGAACAAACCCGGAAATCAGAACTCAGAATGGCGACACGTCTGTACGCGATATAAACACAATAATTTCGAATGTACTTATATTGAGGGGCTTTTTGTGTTCGAATTTTGTGCTGTCGAGTTTCTAAAAACAAGGGATACTATAGAGATTTGTGGCTTTTTTCGACTTCAATTTTGACAAGTGTAGCAACTGGAGTCTGTATGGAATATCATATTTCGAAAAATGGCTTAAACAACATTATATACTCCTAAACCCAATAACTCGTAATATTCTGTACCATTGAGTGTTTAATAATTGTTGTAGTTTTCCTTGTTTTAAAGAGTAAACTCTGAAACACTTGAAAACTATACAAAGTATCCCAACCCTCGCACCGTTCTACACCTCATATATTCATGGCAAGCGACTCACTTACTACCTATTCATATTTCGCCATTTATCTTCCCTTTTTTTTTTGCTTTTTAGTGGAAACAACTTCACGAATACAACCCAGCCCAGATGTTGCCTTTCGTCGGGAGTTTGATTGCCTTTAGAAGCGGCGACTTTTCGTTGTTTCGCTGCATGCAATTTACCTGTACAGGTCTCGGTACTAAAACTGTCCACCCAGTTCACCTTTCCAGCCCATTTTTGCAGTCAAAAATTCCAACCAAAATTCAGACTCGCCCTCCCAAAAAAAAAAAAAAAGGGGGAACGGTGTCAACATCAGCTGCCTGTCGTCCACTTGTTTTTCACTTGATGCTCCAAAGTTTTCCCGCGGCAACAGCTGCCATTGTGAGCGTAACTAACCTAGCTCAAAATCCACGCCCACTTTTTACCTTTCCCGCCCCTCTTTTTACCCTCAACCTGTACCTGCCTTTGTAGCTGGCTTTCATCATAAAGGTAGCAGCGCTTTTTCGGGCCATTTATTAGTTTGCGCCACTTGAAGGGTAAGTTTGCCCAATGAATATATTAAAATATAGTCTTGCAAAATATTTGTCGAAGAAGGGGAACACTAGAACTTTAGAAGTTTGTTTGACTTGAACTAAAAAACAAAATAGGGATACTTAAAGCATACAAATTTAGAAAAGTTGATTCCAGTTCCACAATAATTAAGAAGAACGTTTCTAATTATCAAACTTAATGACAATAATCTAGACTTTAATTAAATATTATTTACATTCTTATATATAATCTTTTCAAAAACTAAACCCCAAAAGATAATTTCTTCAAGTGTAGTCAGCCACACTGCTGATTAAATTTGTATAAATCAATTGAGTGGCTCCGGCCAGCAGAAATAGCCTCTTTAGAAAGTCATTTGGCTGTCGAAAATATATAAATGGGAATTGAATGTGTTCACTCATTATGAAAGTTTTAGGGAGTTCCCAGAGAGGGGAAGATGGGTTCGGCCGACGGAGTAATTGCCCAACAAGGCAAACTGGTTAACTGGCATTTAAGAGCAGGAATTACAATTACCCAGTGCTTTCCTTGACGCTGCTTTCGCCTTGGATTTTCCTCCTCCACCGCCCTTCTCCGCCCCCCTCCCCCTGTGCTTTTCCGGCCAATCCTTCGTGTTTATTCATTCGCCGCAGTCAAGTGCAACTGGCCCTCTCTGTGGAAGTTTTCGTGCAAAACTATTGTCAATTGCGCTCCGGAAAATTCTCAAATGGCCAAAACACAATGCCGAGAACAACCAAACACTTGGCATGGCTTCCTTTCCCCCCGACCCTCCTCCGTTACCACGGCGCGGGTGTGAATCCCCAAGCCAACAACAAACTCCCTTTCGACCGAATTTCCTTGGCGCCTTCCGCCGAGCGAACCAACTGAAACTTTTCCAGCCAAGTCAGTTGGGATTAGCCAACTGAGATGATGGCCCAGAGGACAGGGGTGCAGGAGCAGAGGCGGTTCAGGGCTGAAACTGCAAATTAAGCTCGACAAAACGATTTGCCTAGATTGGGCCGGTGTAAAAATAGGTTTTGAGCTTTTGGTAGTTAGAAATGCTTTGGTAATGAGCCTGTTTCTAACGGAAATGGCTCTAGCCATTTCTGATTTTAGGATATAGGAATTATCAAAGTTTACACAAAATTAGTAAAGAGTTTTATTGCTGGAAATTCAGTGATTTTTGGAAAAGACTTTTTAACTACAGAAGAGAAAGGTTTAAGCGATGGTTTTTATAAGCCAAGTACTATAATTCCTTTTTTTCTTTAATTAACTTTGGATCTTAAAATACCCAATACAGAGTTAATAGTTCCAGAATTTCGTAGTCCTATCGCATAACCCACAGGCAAATATTAGATGCAGGCTGAGTGGCCACGCATGATTGGATCACCTCATCGAAGTAGGGCTTTTGAGCGGGACACGTAAAGATAGCCCCAGTGGCGCATGACTGATAATTGAAGCACGCACTGTTTACGACGGCCAAATAGGGTTTCTTCACATTCCGGCAACGATTATAAACACAGACATAGGTTTCCGGGGATACGCATTCTCCGGTCACAAGATTGAAATGCTGGTTAGTGGGACAGTGGTTCCAGACTCCAACTGAAGTTTTACTCTCACAATAGTAGTAACCATAGCAAGTTGACAGGTCTGAGACTAGATGATCTCCAGCATCATTCTCATTCCAGTTTGTAAAACAGATTGTGGCATTTGTCTGGCCAACTGTAAAACCATCGCCTAGGTTTCCCAACCAATTATAGCAAATGTCATCGACTCTACTGCCTTGGGTCGTTGTCAATAGCAAGACTCCCAATATCCAGATCCTTGAGTTAAGAGCTATTGTAAATTTGAGAATATGTAAGAATATAAAATATCCTAGAATATTTTGTATCACATATTTCTTGCATTTTTGATTTCATTGTTAGTATTACCTTCAATGGTGCACAGCGATGGCATATCCCCTAGCTAATGTTTCCACTCTGTTACTAACTCTTTTAACAAAAATACTCGCTGGTTTTATACTTTCCCAGAACTGGCCCGATTACTGTCAGTTAGATAAGACTTTTTATTGACAACACATTAGTAACTTAATTAAACCAAAACTAAAACCAAGATACGGATTACTACCAATATTTTTCCGCTTTTATCGGTTAATTGAAAGTACTTATCTAAAATGACTTTTTAAAAACATAATTATTATAAGTATTTACTATTAAATATTTTATGTTTTTATAACTTGAATGTTATCTTTAATTGTTTATAGAAATATTTAAATATTTAAAGCGAAGTCATTGCTCCGCAAGAGGTGGTCAATCATATTTCACTTGACTAACGTTCCAATTTCGACTGCCAGCCGTCTAAGCAATTGCCCGCCCGTTTTAATGGAAACTGAACTACACTTGAAATACAAAAAGTCAAATGGCAATTTTAACAATTAAAAGTATACATAGAATTATATTTAGCCTCAAAACCAGAGCTTGCAAATAACTGTCGACGGGGTTTTTCCTGTGCTCTCGGTGCGAGCAAAACCGAAAAAGATCATACTCTCTCGCTCTCGTTCAGAGCAAGGGAGTTTTGCTGTCTTCATTTCGGTTTTTTGTTGAACGCTTTTCGTTGAGCTCTTTTTGCTTCGGCCTTTCAATGAGCCGTGCGTAAAGAGCGGGACGAGAAACGTTCGCACACAGAGAGCCAGCAAAAGACCAAGGGACCGAACAGCTCAGCGCGAACGGTCTTCACCTTTGTTTGTTTTTTTTTTTTTTTATTTATTTTTTGTGAACAAGTGTCCATATAACAAAATGCTATTAAAAAGAATAGAAAAGTTTTAGACAATTTTGTTTTTAAATCCCAACTAAACGTTTAACGATTTGCTTGCCTATGCGTGTGAATGTATACCAATACATACGCAAAAGACTTTTGTCCACTGACCACGGTTCATGGGACAACCGAAACAAAGCAGAATAGAAAAAAACGAGTTCGCTCTGAACGCGCGCGAGCTGATTCCAAGAACTCATGAACGGGTGCTCTCTGAGTCTTTTCGTAAAGAGTGAGAGAGAGACAGATATATGCAGACAATTAGAAACGGTCGACAGTTTTTTGCAAGCTCTGCTCAAAACTGAAGAAAATACAAAAAATTTTAATATTTTAATATATGAGAAGCTTTCATTTCAGTGTTCTTCCTAATAATAATACAAATTATTCGTAGGATATAAGTAAAATTTAAATAGTAAATAATATACTAAAAATTCCAGCTAATGTATTTTAAATTTTGCAAGGGTCTCCCTTCATATTTTATATTCAAATTTCCATTATTCTTTATTTTTGCAAGTGTAAACACCCCGCCATTGGCCCCACAGTCGGCTCTTTGTCTTGCCGTTTTTGGCCTCACAATTTCGCTTACCTCGCTCGCAACACGTTGCGGTTTTGGCAGAGGCGTGCGCCAAGGGGATTTTCAAAGGGGGCGTTACAGAGGGGAAGAGGTGGTTTAGGCACTCGAAATCTTGTATGGGCCAAACACCCGTCGCGCGTTGTTGCTTGTTGATTGTTTTGCCATTTTGCGGTTGCAATTGATGGCACAGGTGGCGAAGAATGTTGCCCAGCCCCGTAAATGACCACAGTGCAGCAGCGGAAGGGGGCGGCGCAGGGCAGAGGGGGCTGGTTCGAAAATTTAGGAACACACACTGCACAGTCTTAAAGCCTACAAAAGTCCCGTTTTTGGCAACAGACGGCGGATGCGGCGGCGGCGTCAGCAGGTAAAAACCATGGAAAATGGCCATTGGCCAAGGCACTTCTTTGGCTTTGCGAGGAATGGAAGGGGTTAGGTAACCGTTACGGATATGGTTTTGGATCCTTTTGGGCCCAACTCTGACTATACCTTTTGTTGGGTCCTGTCATTCCTATTGCTTCAGTCGTTAATGTACCCTATAATTCGTAGAGTTCTCTCGAATAACCAGCATTACTTGTACATTAAACAATATAATGTATCTCTTTAAAATACAAATTATTTCATAATTTTTGAATAGATTTTTTAATGTTAACCGGTTAATGAAAAGAACGAAATCTTTTAAAATCTCTTCTTAAATATTGTATCTTCCCTGTTCGCTATAAATTTCTTACTAAATTTATATGATTTTATCGAATTATTTATTTATTTAATTGATATCTTAGGGCATCCGACGTATCCTTCGCTGGCACCCAAGAAATCTACCTCTTCTTTTCTGTTGTTTTCCGTACGCCTCAGCCTGAGGTAAGCCGAAGTGCAATTTAATTTCCCCGCCGATGAT